GGGATGGACACTGGGAAGAGGTAACTATGGGGAGGAAGTGGGAGGGGAGCTGTTGCATTGTAAATTTTGGTCAATGACATGAGACAAAGTGTATGTGAACTGCTGTATGAAAAGTGAATTTACTCTGTAAATCTTCACCCAAATCAAAATATAAATAAATAAAATATGTTTGGCGTACATGTGGATACAATCTAGCATACATTTAGTATAATACAACGGGTTATAATTTAATATAAAGCTAACAGCAAATGTCAAAAAAAAAAGACTGGAAATACTAGTATTTATCTAATACAAAAAGTTTCCATTTATGTTTCAAGTGAGTTTCATTTTCATTTTTTTATTGTTTGTTGCATGGGTCACAGTGATTGATCTTACCCTATATATGCTAATGTTGTTGTTGTTGTTGTTATGTGCCATCAAGTCGAACCCAACTCATAACGACCCCTCCTTGGGTTGCCAAGGCAGTATCACTATGGAAGTAGATTGCCCAACCTTCCTTCCAAGGAGTGGCCGGTGGATTTCAACCCCCAGCCTTCTGGTTAGCAGTCAAGTGCCTTAGGCACTATGCTACCAGAGCTCCTATATACTCTAATAGGCAGAATAAGAGGATGCAAAATTCAGTATTTATTTATCATGTACAATATGTTTTTGTTTGTAATGAATGTGTTTCTAAAAACATCTTCCTTGGAAGTAACAAAGGGAATTTCTCAGGACATTACATTTATATTTTATCAGAATATTTACACATCTCCGTGTAAGAAAATTAACAATTTCTCAAATAAATAAATTAAATGAATATTTACCCACCAAAAACCCAGTGCCATCGAGTCAATTCCAACTCATAGTGACATGATAGGATAGAGTACAACTGCCCATAGGGCTTCTAAGTCTATAAATTTTTATGACAGACTGCCACTTCTTCCCTCTGTTGAGTGGCTGGTTGGTTTGAACCATTGATCTTCTGGTTAGTAACTGAATCCTTTAACCACTGTGCCACAAGAGCTCCTTTCTAAATGAATATTTTAAAAACTCCCAAATGAATATTTAGATAATAAAAATTATATAAATATATTTTATTTTCCATTTCTCTTCAGACTTTCTTTTAATAAGTCAATTGATATTGTTTAAAAAGAAGTTATTTCATGGATAGCTAAGACACACATGCACACACACATATGTGGATATGGATACGTATATGTACATGTATATATATATATCTCACATATCCCATTCAAATGCATGAATAAGCAGAAGACAGGTACCACAGACTATCAGTGTTCAGTGTTTAGGGCCCTCACATGCCTTAGGCCCTATATAGGCCAGTCCCATTATGTGTGGGTTAAAGGCTGACTCAATGGTAACTGTTGTTGTTGTTGTTGTTATGTGCCGTCGAGTCAAACCCGACTCATAGCGACCCCTCCTTGGGTTTCCGAGGCAGTATCACTACGGAAGTAGGATTGCCCAAACTTCCTTCCGAGGAGTGGCTGGTGGGTTTGAACCGCCAGCCGTCTGGTTAGCAGGCAAGTGTCTTAGCCACTATGCTACCAGAGCTCCCCTAATACAACATAGAATT